GTGCCATGAGGTTTCTTCACGGGTGCCTTGGCAAAATGTCTAAAAATTGCCCAAAACTTGTACACAAGCTAGTGGGTGGAACACTGTAAGATATAGTGCAGTGCTAAAAATTGAATAAATCATCATATAGTTCAATAAATGTTCATAAAATCTTGTGCATAGTCATGAAGAGCTTCCTCTTTTGAAATACACTGATGCCCAAAAAAATCATATAGCAGAAATGCGCACTCACCGACTGCGCATTAAAAATGCGCATATAAGTGACCATCAACTGGAATGGCTGGCAGCAGGTGGTACATCCATCGGGGGTAAAACATCAGCCTTTAGTGAAGTAATACACAATGGGTTCCCTCCTCTGGATGATGGATGAACTGACAGACTGCTGTTGTGGATCTGAAACCCTCAATAGAGGGTCAAAAACAAGAGGGAGTGCCAATAGTGCAGTAGGTTGATGCTTTTTTATTTGGTCACATAAAAACAAGGGTGCAAGTACAAATAGAATTGCCAAAATAAAACTGCCAGATGATGACAAGAGAAATGATATTGTACTGACCCAGAAGTAAAATGGCCACCGAACCTCCTTGTGGTCGCGCCGGTAAATGACGATTCAATTTTTAGCACTGCACTATATCTTACAGTTTGTCTTGCGAGGTCATTGTGATTCGTTGAGTGTTCTAGCTGCTGGTTTTATGAGCGCTCGCTTGAATTTTCTTATTTTAGTGGGTGGAACACGCCTGCCTTTTAGTTACACAAAGCCACAGGTTTTCATTGTGCACCATTACCACCTTCTAGCCGCCAATGTCCTGACAACCAATGACATCATCAGTTGATAAGGAGAATGTCAGTTGCCTGCACAGCATCCTAGTTTGACCCTCCCCTGTCCCTCTCCATCATTGCTGGGGTCGCATTAGCTCAGTGATGGAGGAAAAATGAGGGAGAAAAGAAACACTGGAATACTACTCAGTACCAGTGTGCAGAAGTGTATTTGCTTTGGAAGAATAAATCACCTTTAATGTTGGGTGTCCTACATGTGTGGATGTTGCTGCGTTATAGAAAACTATTAAAATTGTTTTTCAAATTTTAGAATGGTGTGCCTCAAGACTGTCCATAATTTTAAAGGGTGCCTTAGAACTGTCCAGAATTTTAAAGAGTGCCTTGACAGGAAAAAGTCTGACAAACAATGTAGTAGATCATATCAGTAGTCCACTAAATAGCATAGAAGTAGGGAAGGATCACTTACCTTAATAAACAAGGTGAAGCTGTGTTGTTCACTTTGAATACCCAATTATATGCAAAGGAAAGTAAACCTAACAGAAGTTTAGCTTGTACATTCAGTGATTGAAGTAAACTTAGCATTACTCTATTAACTAAGCTATGGAAACATTCACTTTGCAACAAGAAGAATCTTAAGTCCTCCAGGATATCAATATTATTACCTATGTCCTAGAAACACTAGTCTACATTTCACTTGTAAAAAAAGAAATCAAAAATCCCAATAGCTTCCACATGGATATAATCCAGCAGGTTCTAAAGGGGTGTGACCACATGGTGACACTAAATATTCTGGATGAACCGTCTACACACTGCAACACACCCTCTCTAGCAAATTTTGCAATAAAAAAAAAATAGGGGGACCTTTAGTTCACATACATTGCAATACATGTTCCAGGTTGGCCAATTGCATCAAAGTAATCCTTCTCTGGCCAGTCCCTATTCTGCTGTGTTCAAAACGCAAATGCTACAGTGGATATAGTGCCAATATGGGGCAGATAGACACAAGTTGTATGAGAGCTACAAGTCTCGGGTCTGGTCACTGACCTGTAATGCAATAAAAGAAAGGTATACCTGTGTTCAAATCCCAATAGCTTCTATGTGTATATAATCCAGCAGGTGCAAAAGGGGTGTAACCACATGATAGCAGTAAAAATTCTAGATTTGTGTCACTTGTAAATTTACCAGAAACAAAAACAGATTATTTCTTTAATTTTGCCTTACTGATAGAATATTCTTTCCCTTCTTCAGATAATACACTGAAATTATTTGATAGATGAGGTCATTGTCAGCCCAAGTATACTCGGAAGGTCCTATCCTTTTGATGTATGACAGCAATGGCACTAAATAAATATATTCCAATTATGAGATGTAATCAGTAATTTAATAAAAAGCTATAATTGCCTGCAAAGGTTATTACTATGTTTGAAAACATTAGGTGACAGCAACGTTTAATGTAGAACTTGCACTAAAAATCATCTAAGCCCTATGAATTAATACCACTCCCACCCCATTTAAAAAAAGGTAACTTAACCACTTCCTGTCCGGACACTTTTACCCCCTTCCTGTCCAGGGCAATTTTCAGCTTTCAGCGCTATCACACTTTGAATGACAATTGCGAGGTCATGCAATACTGTACCCATATGAATTTTTTACCTTTTTTTGAGACAGATAAAGCTTTATTTTGGTGGTATTTATTCACCGCTGGGATTTTTATTTTTTTTACTATGTAAATGAAAAATGTCCAAAAATTTTGAAAAAAAAGTGTTTTTTTAATAAAATTTTGCAAATAAATAATATTTCATCCTAAATCTTGGCCAAAATTTATTCCGTTATTTTTTTAGTAAAAAAAAAAAAAATCCAAATTAGTTTATAACCAAACATTATAATTTTTAAACATTTTTTTTTACATTTTTATTTTATTTTTTTTTATATTATTTTTTATTTTATTTTTTATTTTTACATACTGTCACCCTAGCAGTACAGTGTCACCATGGTGACACTGTACTACTTGTGGGGGGTGATGAAGATTTTTTTTTTTTTTTTTTACACTGATTGCTTTTACACCCATATAGGATGTAAAAGCAATCATTTCTCTTTCTCTCTGTCTGCATTCTTGCAGTCATTGAGAAATACTGAGTGAGCTGTGATTGGTCACAGCTTGTCACATGGTACAAGGCTGTTGTGAATAGCCTTGTACCATGTGACCTCTGTGATCATTCACAGATTTCACACGTAGTAAGCAATGATGTCACAAGTGACATCTTGCTTACTACTTTGCATGTGATCACTGATTCGCCAATCAGTGATCACATGACCGGGACCTCGTACAGAGGTCCCGTCCGATGATCGGTGTTTCACTGTGTCCGGAGGACACAGCGGACACCGGATCGCGGTGGTGCGCGCTCCTAGGGAGCGCGCACAGCTAGAAAAGGCGGGTGCCGTTTAGGAACGGCAACCCGACCTTGGACTGCCACCGCCCTGCCGTTTATAAACAGCAGGCGGACGGCAAGAGGTTAAACAGAATAACATTAACAAGCAGTGCTGGGCTCAATATTCGAGTCGAATGTAAGTTCGATGGGCTGCTCGCCCGCCCAGTGCCCCACAATGCACTGCACTCTCACAGTGCATTGTGACAGCCAAGATTGGTCAAAGCAATGCACCTGACCACAGGGCAGGTGCAAAGCTTTGGCCAATCACAGCACAATGTACTATGAGAGCCATGATTGGCCAAAGTCATATCAGGCCCTTTAGGTCTGGTAGGAAGATTAGGAGGGATGCCTCGGTAAAAATTTTTTAAAAAAAGGTGATTCAGGTTCCCCCTAAAAGCTATACCAGGCCCTTTAGACCTGGTAGGACTTTTAAGGGGAATCCTACACCCAAAAAATGGGGGGGATCTGGAATCCCCCCTAAATTCCTACCAGACCCTTGATCCATGCACAGGCCTGGCAGGGCAGGAAAGGGGGGGGGGACGATCAAGCTCCCTCCCTCCCTGCAGCTTAGCAGGCCACATGCCTTCAGCATGGGAACAGTGTCCCCATGACGATGAGGACAAGGGCCTCTTCCCCACAACCCTGGCCTGGTGGTTGTCAGGGTCTGTGGGCAGGGGGGCTCATTAACATTAGGGTACCCCTTTAACCACTTGACCTCCAGAGAATTTATCCCCCTTAATAACCAGGCCTCTTTTTGCTACTCGGCGCTGCACTAATTCAACTGATAATTGCGCGGTCATGCAATGCTGCACCCAAACAAAATTTACATCCTTTTTTTCACACAAATAGAGCTTTCTTTTGGTGGTATTTGGCAGAGCAAAAATGAGTCTCCTTTCATCAAGACCTCCGGGCCGAAGGTATGATGAAAGGTTACTGACACCCCCCCTAGACCTAGTCTGCGGATTAGTACTATGATACCACTGATTATAGTAATGATTGCGGAGGACTGGGATACCACCGGAGCAAAAATGAGTCTCCTGAAGTAGTAGGATCTGTGCACCACATTTATGGAAATGGTAGAGCATCTGGCTACGCTTCTCCGGAGTGTTAAATCCTCTACAATTAACTACTTGAGCTCCAGAGGATTTACCCCCCTTAATGACCAGGCCTCTTTTTGCTAGTCGGCGCTGCACTAATTCAACTGATAATTGCGCGTTCATGCAATGCTGCACCCAAACTAAATTTACGTCCTTTTTTTCACACAAATAGAGCTTTCTTTCGGTGTGTAATTTGATCACCTGTGCGCTTTTTATTTTTCATGCTATAAACAAAAAAAGGCCAAAATTTTGAAGAAAAATGATATTTTTTACTTTCATCTATAAAAAATATATAGTAAACTCAAAGTTAGTTGTAAATTTAGGCCAACATGTATTCTGCTGCATGTTTTTGGTAAAAAAAAAATCCCAATAAGTATATATTGATTGCTTTGTGTGAAAGTTATAGCGTCTATAAACTATGGTATAGATACTGCAATTTGCACCATTTTTTTGCTATACAGCGCCCTGCGCTAGTTTAACGGACAATTGCGCGGTCATGCAATACAGTACATAAATGAAATTTTCATCCTTTTTTTCCTACAAATTGAGCTTTCTTTCGGTGGTATTTGATCGCCTGTGCAGTTTTTTTTTTTGGGCTATAAAAAAAAAGGCTGACAATTTTGAGGAAAAAAAACAAATTTTGGACTTTTTGCTATAAAACATGTCCAGTAAAAAAAATGTAAAAATCAAATTTAGTCATAAATTTCTGCCAAAATGCATTCTGCGACATGTGTTTGCTAAAAAGAAACCCCAATACATGTAAATTAATTGGTTTACGTGAAAGTTATAGCGTTTACAAATGGCGGTAAAGATACTGGGATTTTTAGTTTTTTTTTTATACTAATAATGGCGGTGATCAGCGACTTATGGCGGCGATCAGTGACTTATGGCGGCGATCAGCGACTTATGGCGGGACTGCGGGACTGCGGCGGACATTCTGACATTGGAAACGGTTAACTGTGTGAGGGGAGTGTTTTACTAGGGGGGGCGGGGGTGTGTATTGCAGGGAACACCGCTGAACGGGGAGAGAGAAACTCTTCTGTCCCGATCAGCGTGTCCTGGAGCTGTCAGGGAACTGACAGAAAGCACAGCTACTGCAGCTGTGCTCTCTGTCAGCGATTGCCGCCGATCGCCGGGACATAGCCGGTAACGACCGGCTGTGACCCGGCGACTGACATCCGCGGCTGTGATCGGCGGGACAGGTAAGGCGGCGGCGCGCCTCGCGCAAGCCCCCTACCTGTTTTAAAAAACACACGTTTTAAAATGTGGTTTTGCCCAGCCGTGCTGCCCTGCCGCCGTATTTCTACAGTGGCTGGGCGGCATGTGGTTAAATAAGGAGGCACCCTGCTGATGCCCCCCTTGTGAATACCCATTCACTAAAGGGTGAAATTCAATAAAAAATAAAGAGACTGGTCTTTTGAAAAATTCCATTAATTGAACAAAAAACAAAACAACAGATTTTGATAAGGCCCGCCGACCTGTCCACACCTTCCGATCACTCGCCACAATATGACAGTGCTTTTTACTGTGGGGTCCCTCCTTACCTTCCGACCAGGCCTAAAGGGTCTGTTTTGGATTGTGGGGGAAAGTTCGTTCATTAGGTTTGAAAGTTCGACCACAAAACGAACACAGGGGTGTTTGGCCCATCACTAGTAACAAGTAAAAAATACTTAAAGGGTAACCCCACTTTTGTATAAAAAAAATAGTCAATAAAAACATATATCGCATATACAACTGCGACACAAGACATTTTGCTATTAAACATGCCCAGTAAAAAATTTTTAAAAAACTAATTTTGTCATAAATTTAGGCCAGAATGTATTCTGCTACATTTTTACTAGTAATGGCGGCAATCAGCGACTTATAGCGGGACTCCGGTGGGCATTCTGACACTGGGGGGGAACAGACTTGGTGATACTGACATCCCCAGTGACACCAATACAGTGATCAGTGCTATTAAAAAGCACTGACACTGTACTAATGGCACTGGGCATGAACGGGTTAAAATCTGGGGCGATCAAAGGGTTAACTGTGTGCTGTATGTCATTTTACATTATATTCTGTGTGTTTGCTTCACTGTAAGCACACTGCTTTGCATGGCTGTGCTGTGCACAGCCATGCTAAGCAGTCTGCCAGAGCTGACAGGGAGGAGAACTGTTTTGTTTACTAACAGTTCTCCCCCACGTCGGAGATCCTCGACAATCACCAGGTGCTGGCAAGTAATCACCGGCTGGGACTCAGTGATTAACAGCCACAGCCGCGAACGGCGGCGTGGGTAGGGCGAGCGTGCACTTCGCGCACAACCCCTACCCGGAAATGCAAAATCACGTATATATACACATGACTTTGTGCACAGCTGCCACCCTGTAGCAGTATTCTGCTATGGGGCGGAGCTAAAGCAGAGACATTTGGGAGAAAGGTTTGTTAATAAACAGGGGTTAGATAACTTTAAGTACAAGGTCCACTTTAAGCAAGTGAAAGACAAGCAAATATGCGAAGACTGCGATGGTATATTTTATAAATGCAAATCCCACCTGGCCAGTCTTCCAATATTTGTCTTTTTTATTAACATATTGCACATGATGGTGATAATTTACTAAAAGATTAGCGCATATTCACCTTGTAAAGTTCACTTATTTTTCACACAGAATCCATGGCAGCATATGTTTGGTTAGCTCAGCCTTTGCTCTTACCCCATAGGACCCCACTCCCATAAATGCTAAGGCTCAGTCAGAGGTCATGTTCTTTTTTTGTCCTCCTGGATGGGTCATTCCAGCTAGCCAACTGGCTTATAGGGCTTAGAGCCTTTTTCCTAAGAAAGCAGTAACAATGGACTCAACCAGGAGTGTGTAGACTTTGTGGGCTCCCTGTGAAAGGAAGCCAGGAATATTTGTATGGGGATGACATGTGGTTTCTAAGGTTTCTGTTGGCTAAGTTCTATGATTGAAACCCTACTTTTTTGGCATCCCACCCTTGTTTTTTAGGCTAGTTTGTTCCCAAACATAAGCTGCAATGGAGTTTGTTGGGAAAACAAAACATTTCCTATCGAATACTTACCAAAGTTTTCCTTTCCTGATGGACTCCATGGCAGCATGAGTCCCCTCCTAGTATAATGAGTAGGCTAGTTACAGAATGCAGCCTCTGGCTCAGACTCAAAAACTTATGGAGCGGGGGTCCTATGCGGTAGGAGCAAAGGCATATGCTGTCATGGAGTCCATCAGAAAAGGAAAATGATGGTGGATATTTGATAGGAAATTTTCTGTTGCTTGCTTTGCTTAGTGAATTAAAGTAAATTAGTGAGTTAAAGTTGTTATCAATTCAATCATCTTATCATGTGCAGGCAAAAATCCTGTTTTTATATCCTTTGCCATGGTGTCTTTTGCTCCTCGTGTGACCATTCTTCATTCTTGCTCTTCTTTGACCATTCTTCATTTTTTTAAAAAGGAGTATAGGCCACCAAATAAGCACAAAAGAGTCCAAACATGGGCATGGGAAGTTGAAAAAAAATGGATTTTGACTAGCATGTGGCTTTGGTATAAGTAAACACAGTTTCTTCTTATTTTCTAAACTGAGTGAACAGACACTACTCCTCATACAAACTGAACATTCTCTACTCCTTTAGTAAATCCACCCCATACAGTACAGCCAATTAGAACTGAAGCCAACTAATCTACTAACATGTTTATGAGTTGAGGAGGGAAACCAGAGAAAACATACATGTGGTGGGTGAAAAAAACTCAGAGACTCACCCCCGTTTTAAAAGACGAGTGTTCTAAACTCCTGCTCATGTGATTACTGAATAATGTTTATGTTTTTCTGCATCCCTATAGCTACAGTAACATAAATCTAATTGTATAGTTTTATTATTTAACATGTTTGTAAAAGCTGTAAAAAAAAGGGCTAAATGTTGTAACACAATTTTCATATCAATAAATTTGAGTATTTTGTGTTCTATCTTGCAAGCACACAGTGTTATACCTAATAGTATAAAATAATTTAACATAGATATTTCACTTGAAAAATAAATCACTAAACTTGTTAATCTGAAAAAGCATTGCATTAATTTGTACTTTTTGCTTCCAGGAGACTTCATGCCATTTTCAATTAACGTGAACCTGAAAATTATTTAATTTTAATGAGTGTAGTATAGCTAAATTGCTTAGAATAGTTGCAACAATTAGCAAGGTGATAAGAAAGAGAAATCCATAGGAGCAATTAAATTTTTTTTTTTTTTTCTTTCACCGTGATAATGTGTGATCATTAGTTTAACACTATTTTAAATTCAACACAAAGTAAAATGCAAATGTTTATATCTCACAAAGAGTAACTAATTCTGCTAAATGTTCCTATTTTGCTTCCTAAATATTTGTTTGTGCATCACTTTTAATTACTTTAATACCAATGTGTAGAACATCAGTGCTGATTTGATAGTTCATCATCATTTTGAGTTAGGGCAGATTAGATTTCCCAACCACATTATTATTACTGTAGGCTAAACTGTGAAATCACACCATTTTTGTCCAAAGGACAGAAATTCAAAAAGAAAACTATTTAGGATTTTAATCAGAGGTTTTCATTAAACTGCAGAAAGATTCCACTTCAGCTCTGACACAAGAAAACTGTTGATAGGAGTTGACATCATAAGGACAGGTTTACTGTCATTCTTCAGCTTTTCAGTGTCACTTCTTGACATGTTCCTAAAAGAACTGAAATCAATATCTGACAGTCACCTCCGGCAATAGAAAATCCAACTATTACTTTGACCTGTCTATTACTTCATCCTATCTATTAAAAGACTTTATGAGAATTGTAGGTATATGCAGTAAATGTTACTTACTACAAAATATGACATATTCCCAAACAACATTTACCAGGGAAACACTAATATATATCAGCATTCCAATACCATTATATAAGTCCATCATCTTCATATATACGTCCTAATGCATCAAAAGTTGTAGTTTTTAGCAGCTTAGAATTTCTGTTCAGTGCTTTGTAATAATTATTATAGAACACAGCTGTATATAACATTTTAGAAAATATTGTAACCTAGAAGCACATTTTAAAAGTTCAGAACAAGAATATCAAACTGATAACATTGATTGCATAGTTGGCAATGCCTTATCTTATGATTTGTAAAAGCATCTTAGCCATTCCAAATCATTTAAATTCAGCTAATACAGCTATTAAGGGTGAACAATGTTTACTCTCTGATCAAACGATGCTTGCTTTTTGCATATGGGTACTCTTACAGCCTTGCAAAGTGTTCAGTCTCTAGGACTGTAGCTTACTATGGTTGAAAAATTAGCAAATAAAAAGGTAAAAAATATGTTTATTTTCTAATAGGGATGGGTGAATCTGCACAGATTCAATTTGTGATGATTCTGCTTTCTTTGTGCAACCAGTGGGTTGAACTATTCATACTTGAATACTTGTAGATGAGAGAATCACTCCTGCTGAACTATTGTTCTCTGAAGGAAGATAGACTTGCCTGCCATCAGAATACACTGATGAGAACTGTCAGCTCTAGCCAGTGCGTTGATCAAATGGAATTTATCTGACAGGCTGATTGTCAGAAGTCAATTGGTAGATCAACTCCTGTACATCATTGTCCCCATAAATAGAATGAAAATCACATACATTTTGATCCATGTATAGTTAGTCTTAATCAAATCATGTTTGAAATTCATGAAACCCAATCATTATTATTATATTATACAGCATTTATATAGCACCAAAAAGTTTGCTCAGCGCTGTAAACATGAAACAATACAGTAACAATACAAAACACAAGGTGTTCGAGGGCCCTGCTACTTGGAGCTTACAATCATAGCAACAAGCACAATTAAAGTGTATGGGGACCAAATTCTGGAATGAGCTTTGGGCTCAGGTGCCTGAACCCAGCCCTTTTGTAGTTTAGAACGGGCATAACGCAAGCATAACCTGACATAACACAAGCATTGGCTAATAGTCTGTCATTTTGCAGTTTGCCATTTTGCTTTTGTAGCACAACCACCACAAAATAAAAGAACCCTTCGATATTCTGTTTGTAAGAAAACTGGCCAGTCATGATCTTGGGTGACATCACTGATCACATATAGTTGAGATCAGTAGTCAATGACTTCACTCAGCCAGAATTGATCATTTGTGATGGGATTAGTGGGTCTTCATTGAGGACATTATTTTTTCTAATAAAGATCTTTTTAGATGGTGTTGGTGTTTTTATTTACTATTTAAATAATAGTAGGTAACAAGGTGTAATATGTATTCCAAAGGGGGCTTCCAGAGTCTGATACATTCCCCTCAGACCCCCCCCCTCCCAATATATTTTAGGCAAAAGAATGCAACAGAACACCCATGAAAGAATAAAAACACTCATGTCATGAATAAAAGTATTTTATCATTAAAAAAAGAATAAAAAAATATACAATGCCCCCGATGTACATTCAAGTCAACCACAATAACCTTAACATTGTGTGCTTTTAAAAAGGTGACAAACTTTGGTGCCCAAAATTGTCCCTTAGAGGTCAATACTTTGCAGTTATCTTTAAATAATGACACTAGATTTATTTCTCCCACCCCAGAGTGCACTGCAATATATACTATTGGTAGCATGGTCATTGTTTTTGTACATGGGTGCCCCGACATATGCATGTACATGGGGGCAGAGGGGATTTTAAAAATGTGGTTGTCTTTTTAATTGTTTACATTGCTAGTAGCCCCCTATATGATAGCATATAGATTGTGACAGGTTCTCTTTAATGACACATCAGGGGTCTATTAGATGTCTCCTCTGTACACCAATGCAGCTAATGAAGCACAGATCATGCTCCACTGGCTGCTAACTTGGCCAGAGCTACTGGGGAATGACAGCTCTGAACCAGGAAGTCACATAATATACCTTGTGTCCTGGATAATTCATCAGACCAATGAACTGATGTTCACTGAGCTCCCTCCACCCTGCCGCTCTGCAAGAGGGACAGTGGATTATAGGGTACATCGTCGGGGGTCTCAC